TTACGTTATTTACGTTACGTTAGTTAGTTAGTTACGTTAGTTAGTTACGTTAAGTTAGTAGTACGTCGTCTACGTCGTAGTCGTAGTAGTAGTATCTTCCAGTCTCTCTCTCTCTCTCTCTCTCTCTCTCTCTCTCTCTCTCTCTCTCTCTCTCTCTGGGTGCACGTTCGCCGCATACCTGTCCCAAGGATTTAGCACAAAAGTGCATTATCTTCTTATTGTCAGTTTGCGTCTAATGTCTTCTCTTAATTCTTTATTTTGCAGCAATTGGTGCAATCTTCTCTGCTACGGATTCTGTTTGCACCTTGCAGGTTTGTTGCAAAATGGTCTATTTTGATGATGTAGTGCTGCATTTTGCAAGATCATAGCTATCCTATTTATGATTCTGATTTCTGCAGGTTCTTAGTCAGGATGACACACCTCTACTTTACAGTTTGGTCTTTGGGGAGGGTGTTGTCAATGATGCCACTTCTGTGGTACTTTTCAATGCTATCCAAAATTTTGATCTTAATCACATCGACTTAAGGACCGCTTTTCAGTTGATTGGCAACTTTGTTTATTTATTTTTTACGAGCACCTTGCTGGGAGCAGTTGTAAGTTTATGTTCTGTCTTTTGCAACTTATGTTCAGTGTGTTAGTAGTATTTGCATATTTTTTTTAGCAGAAGTTGTTTTTGCATATTTTATTTTCATGCTTGTATATTTCAGCACCTTCCACAAGTGAAAAGCATTGACCATAAGATGGTATTATCTTATTTGATTTTGCAGGCTGGTCTTCTAAGTGCTTACATCATCAAGAAGCTGTATTTTGGAAGGTATCCTAACAATAGACATTTTACCTTTTAATGTTCTGTTGCTTAAAGTTTGCAATAGTTTGAAGTAGTGTTCTGGAACTTGGATCGGCCTACCGTGCGATTAACCCCTAAACCGATCCGAAACGGAAGTGGCATGTCTCCGAGAAGAATTTATGTAGACACCAAAAATTGCAATAAAAAATAAACAGGTGGAAACTATGCAAGTCTGGGGGTCTTTAGACCTGGACTAGTCCCCCATCGGCTCCATGTTGGCTCGGGCAGTTTCAAACCGTCTCACTAGTTTTTGAAGCATTGGTTTGGAGTAGTGTTTGTAAACCCCACAATCTGGATCAGGAATCGCCCGGACCCAGAATCGTTTGGGACCGAACCGGTTCCTGGAAGGTATCTGTCCCATTCCCCCCGTAAAACCACCACGTTCACAATTTATTTTATATTTTTAAGCTTATGCTTTCTTAGGCCCTCTACAATCCCCACCTTATCATCCCATCATCCAAGCCTTATCCCAATTATTGGGGTTGGCTACATGAATCTTGTTCCTTCATTCTTCTCTATGATGGGTCATACCCTCAGTAAGACTAAAAGTCATCATATCTTTTCTCACTACTTCTATGATCTATCAATGCCCTTTTGCCTTCCCATTGCCCTTTTAGAGTTTTCCACTTGAACCCAACCGCACCTCCTAACCGGTGTTGTATTAGGTCTATGCTGCACATGATCAACCCATATAAATCTACTTTCCCTCATCTTATTGCCAACTTATGAATCTCTATTTTATTTATTTATTTATTTTTATTTTTTTAAGTATTTTTCTAAATCACCAATTCAAACAAATCTGAATTGACAATTTAACGTGGATCTATGGGTGGACAATCCACCCCATTGATTTGGGTTTTAAAACATTGGTTTGGAGTCTGCCTCTCTTTTATGGCATTTGTTTACTTGTTTTCTGTCGTAGAATTCTTTTCGTGCTCGATTGAAATAAAATTTTAGGAGTACCTTTGAGGGTAAGTACCGATATTCCCATGGGATATCGTTTGGATTGTTGAATATCTCTAAATGTGGTAAGGTAAGAAAACTGATTTATCCCTTTAACTGATACAACCTAAGACCCACTGATGCATTGTAAACTTGAAAATTCATGTTACCAGCATTATAAAGATTACGCAGATGCACTCACTTTTGAGGACCAAAATAGCCTAAATTTATTACACTAGATCATGGTTTGGGAATGACTGAAATCATGAGTTTTTTTAAACATTGTATTTAGCCATATGCAAGGTTGGACACCTATATTTTGACTTGAAATGAGATGCGAAATATTAAATGTTTATTGAGAATTTTGAAAGGAGCAAACACTCTTCCCTTATGCACTATCTATGCAGCGGAAGATTGTCTCAGTGATGGTTACTAGTATCCAAAGGCATAGTTGCATAGTTGGTTGGGGCTGATGTGGTTTTAACATTCTCTTGTTTCTTTTCTTACTATAAGCGTGCATCTTCCTTTGGTCTGAAATGTGATTGTGATGAATCCTCTTGATATTCATGTTCTGAAGCCTTATGCTTTTGAAGTTTGACCACGATGTGCTTTATGAGGCGTACTCCCTATGGAAGAATCCAAGATGATTAATGGGGTATTTCAGTTGTCAACATACAACATAGAAAATTTCTTAATGTCACCATTTTAAAACTTTCTATTATGCTTTGCAAAGTCTATTTTTGGATGAAAATATGTAAATCAATTTTCATAAGTGTTGGAAATCAGGGGAATGTTCCATTTTTTTTTCCCCTGACAACCAACGTAATCTGCCAACCACCCGGATCCCTAATTAAAAAACTTGTGCCCAATAAAACAACTTCACTCAGTATAATACTTATTTTGAAAAAAAAAATGAAATTTTTTTTTTTACTCAGTATGTTTGCTTAAAGCCATATTTGGAAGATTGGGGCATTAGATAATTTCTAGAATGGATTTTATGTGACTTTAGATATATTGACAGAATATTTTTGCATTTGATAGCATGAAACTTGAACCTGGAGAGCTTATGTTTGAATTAGAGAACCTTGGATGGACTTCACTTTTGGAATATAAACGAGTTTATTTTAGGGATACTTTAGCCTTTTTACTTTCACAATGTTTTACTGAGAGGGATATACTAGACCTGATCTTAAATAAGGTTTTAGTGTAAAAAATAAACTGAATTTCTATGTCCTGCTCTTGACAACTCTTAAATGGTAGAGACCCCGGACTTATCTGACTAACTAATGTACTGCAAATAGATGGGAGTCAATGGCCTGTTTTTGTGTAATGTTTCCTCAGCATTTAATGGTATTTTATATATTGTAGGCATTCTACTGATCGCGAAGTTGCTCTTATGATACTCATGGCTTACCTCTCTTATGCACTTGCTGAAGTAAGATAAGTCACAATGTGTTTTTTTCATCTTTTTCTTTCTGTTTATTTTTCTTCCTCATTTCTAATATGATTTCTGCAATTTTTCTTTCACTGATGTTTGGGATTACCTAATGAACTGCAATATTGCCTATTCAATTCATTTTACAGTTGTTCTACCTCAGTGGCATTCTTACAGTATTTTTCTGCGGGATTGTGATGTCTCATTATACATGGCACAATGTGACAGAGAGTTCAAGAGTTACCACCAAGTATGGATCATAACCCAAAGATTAGTACCAAATGTCCCAGAAGTTCAAACTCGTACTATGTACTTTGCTATTTCCTTAACTGCATTGCTTTTCTTCCTTATTGATTTACTGTTCTAATTCTTTGTGGTTGCTAATTGTTGCAGACATGCTTTTGCCACGCTGTCATTCATTGCTGAGACATTTATCTTCCTCTATGTGGGTATGGATGCATTGGATATTGACAAGTGGAGAGTTGTGAAAAGCAGGTCCAGCTTCTTCCCTAAAACATTATTTTGATGTTCTCATAACCGGATCAGTGGGGTGGATCTCCTACCCACTGATCCCAATCCGGATTGCAATCCGGCAAAATAAAAAAAATTGATAAGATATACCGTATATCATATATATATATATATATGGAAGATACTACAAACACCTATAGGCGAAATGACTGCGATTTCACCTACCCTTATCACCATCCAAAGTTCATCGCACGATCACGATTGTCCAGTAGTATTTCATTTTTCATTTTTTTTTTACAAATCAAAATGATCTGAAATTTAAAGCGTGTGTTCATCAAAAATAGGAGAATCTACGAAAAATATCAAAAAAATATTTTACATGAAAAAATTTGACAAAAATACCCCCAAAAAGTTTCGGGGGTATTTTGATCAACTTTGTTCTTGCAAATTATTTTTTTAATATCTTTATTTGGTATGCCTCACTAAGATGTACACACGCTTCAAATTTCAGATCATTCTGAGTTGTTGAAAAAAAATGAAAAATGAAACACTATCGGACAATCGTGACTGTACGATGAACTTTGGACAATGACGTGGGTAGGCGAAATCACTGTTCATTTTCGCCTGTAGGTGTTGGGAAGACTTTTCCTATATATATATATATATAAACACACACACGGATATTGATGTTGTCAGCCCACGGGTTGATTGCTACAGTGTCAACCAATGGCCCAGATTAAATTTGGGCCGATTTGACAGTCACGACGTTATTTCGTGCTTGAATTTTCATTTTTTCTACAAATTTGAATTACTTGAAAATTTAGGTCATGACCGTTAGATCGGCCCAAATTCAATATGGGCCGGTGGCTGACACTATAGCTGTCAGTCCGTCTGGGCCATTGGTTGACACTGTAGCTGTCAGTCCATGGGCTGATAGGATCTTCTTTCTCTCTCTCTCTC